GCCCAGGTGCGTCCTTTAGTTTCTCTCTTACACAGATTTGCTTAAAAAGAATGTTGAGTTCCCGTCAAAAAAATTAAAGGAATGTTGAGTTTGTACGTTCTTGTCGGAAATCAAGCACTGTAATGCTCGCGCGTGCAATAGCATCCCCTGTAATTTCTTTGTTTTCTAAGATATTTTGTATGTCAAAAACCTTTTAATTTAGGTCCAGTACCTTATTTGGATTTCTTTTTTATCAGAAGGGTCTCTCGTATACTGGACCTAGATTTGCTTTTTTACATTCGCTAGCATAACGTCAGCTTCACTTGACAGCACAGTATGATGTGCCAATTGTCGAGCACTCAAAGAACCCATTACGTACATTACTGAACTTAATTACAACAGCTCACTGCTTTAACGATCATAAACATTTTAGGTTGGGATGCTCAAACGCCCAGAAGGATTAGGAGCACAAAGTCACTTCATGATTTTTCAAGAAGGTCAGTTCTGGGAGCGGTATTTTTTCTTTCTTTCCGAAAAGAAGGTTGCCACAATCTCTGCATCCAAGAATACACACAATCATCTCTATTGTATTATACAACAGAGTCAAACAAAACCAATACATGGATCAACCTTAAGCCACCTTTCTGATGACCTTTATCGTCACACCTACAAGCTTGATGATGTGTCCTGACCTCCCACAAACACACAACATCTAATTCGGTGGGCAGTGGCCTCGCGAAGCCGCCCCGCGTCAAGCCAAGAGCCTCAACTGGTCTAGACGAGAGCCCCACGGGCCACGGCTGTATTTACAAAAGGTGGAGATTTCCCTTTTTAATTAGAGTATATGTGATAAGCTCTTGAACAAAGAATTCGGTTTATTTATCAGCCATTGCATGTAGGCAGACTTAGGGTGCCCCGTGTACCAAGAAAACTAAAACTGAAAGATAGGCTAATTAGGGAGTGCGGTGATTCGGTATGCACCTGGGCGTTAACAGTAAATTCAAACCTGGATATGAACAGTAAATCAAAATAAAATAGCAAGCACATTCAAAAATAAATAATTTTCTTCTGCATCGAGGTAAATGACATTTCCCGGAAAATAAAAAGTTCTGGTCTTAGAGAAACTGAAAAAAAAGGTTGTAAACTGATTTTTTTGTGTGTGTGTCTAGAGCTTCTCGAATATCATTTCACCCCTAAAATTTGCACGTATCTACCGTGTTGGAGCATCTTTGATGCCAAAAAATGTAAGTTTTTTAAAAAGAAAATTATACATTTTTCTGAATTTACTGTTCATTGAGTGTAGACGAGCCCGAGCACAAACGCGGATTACCGCTAATCAGGCTCATTGGAGGCTGTGTTTACCAGGCTTACAAGCCGTGGCATTCCCCCACTCCATGGGAAACGCATTGGAACTAGCAGGAAGACTGAGAAAAAGCTCACGGATCCATCCCGCGAGCAGCAGTCAGAGCCAGAGCCAGACACCAGGCGCAAAATGACGAGCAGCAGGGCGATTCATGCGGCTGATTCACTCATTTTGCTCCGTTTGTAGTTCATATTAAAATCTCTAAAAAATGCTTATATGTAGGAACGGAGGGAATCGTAGCTGTTGTGCGGCAATCCTTTCTCTGCTAGACTGACATTGGTTAGAACCCTCTCCCTGAGCCAAAGCCACATGAAGAAGCAGCGACATTTGGCCTCCACCTTAGCAGACCATAGTTTGGCAGGCTTATAGCCTTATGACACCTAAACCTGCCATACCTGCCTGAAGAGAAGGCACGCCTGCGAACTAAACAGCGTGATCTTGAAGTAGAACAGTCCAATTATTCCCAAGGAAGTTGGGATCATGGAGACATATAGCCAATCATGGGTTCATCAGCAAAAAGGGTCATCGATAGTGAGATCAGATGCTTTCTCAGAGAACGAAACATTTGCAACAGAATACACATGACATCGATTTTTCAGGAAGAGGGTAGCTTTGAGAGCGGTACTTACAGGTGCACAGTTCCCAGATTGTACATATTTCGGCGAAGTAATTTTTTTCATATGCAAAGAAGCGGATATAATTACTCCATAAATAACATGTTTGCCAATAGCTTCACTTGGCAGCGGTGCCAAAAACCTAGTCGCCGAGTTGGCTTATGCAGAAACAAATAGACAGTAAACAAAAGAAAGCTGAAGTCAACGGTAAGCAAATAGCATAGCAATGTACTCCCTCCGTCCCAAAATTCTTGTCTTGGATTTTTCTAGATACAAATTTATTTAGTCATACATCCGTATCTAGACAAATCTAAGACAAGAATTTTGGGATGGAGGGAGTACTAGACAAATAGGCGTGCTTTGCTGCGCCGACCATAATAGTGTTTGTGATCTTGCAGCATTGTCTTTTTACTTTAATTACATAGCGTTCGACTGGTTCATCATAGACTCATGGTAGTACAATGTAAAAAATTGCTAACATGCCAGTAACAATGCAAGTTCTTTTATGTGATTATGACATATTAAAGATAACAATAGATGTACATCAGTGGACTATGACATATTAAATCATTAATATATCCATTCGTAGCCAACGTTTGAAACACCACAAGAAACTTAATCAGTTGCAAAACTAACCAATAATCATGGGGCAAAGAAACGGGGAAGTAGACTTCATGAATTTTGTCACAGACTGCATGAGCAAAATAGCTTGGACATCTAACATTACACCTCCAGTACAAGCTTCTTTTAAAATGCTCTCCCGTAAAATGGACAAACAGAACATAAATGATTTTCATGCTTTATCAATGGTAACATCCCTTGGGAATAGAAAAACATGACCAGTTTTTCAGTCTCAAGAATGTCAACATTGTTGGACATTTATGTTCCTCCTTAGAGCTGGCAAGGCTATTAGGCCACTGAAGTAACTAAATAATGAACGGTGAATGAAATCAAATGCTGGGCTATTGGCAGAAGTAAACCAAGAGACAACATCATCAAGGGCAAGCAACAACAATCTCTGGAAGATAGCACGGAGACGAAAGTCCTCTTTGCAAACAGGAGAAGCAGAGCCAAGCAAGTACAGTAACACCTACGTAACTGTTATATCTCTAAACATATATGGTGGGCATTCCATTAAGCAAAGAATTAGCATATTTGAACATTCCCACTTCTCGAAAATCTTTCAGTGAAACATGAATAGAGTAGCAACAACTTTGTTTTCGGAAACCAAGTACTCTAAGATTGTTCACAAACCAGGTCTCATATGTAAGCTCTAGCTTTGCTCAACTAATTGGCCAAGTCTTAATTGGAAAGAAAAAAATCTACTGTCATAAGCTATTTATTCCATATGCTTTTTACCAGTCGATGCAATGTGCCATTTCTATTCCAGATACACAAAACATGATGCAGAAAGCAGAAGTGCAGAACTACATTTAGTCTCTGCCATCCTGATCCTGGCCAACCAAGCTCAGTATACTCTGACCACCAAATGATAGTTAACGAAACTGACAGAGGTGACATTCTACATAAGCAATGCAAACAAAATGAAACCACAGACATGCTAAAAAACAAGCGCACTATATCCAGAAGCACATTGCTGTCATATTGTCATATCGAGACAAACACATGAAAATAACACTAGTCTCTCAAGTACTCTGCCAGCTTTAATTCCTACACACTCTTGGTAGTTGGAAAACTCAGCCATATCTCAAGATAAGGCATGCCTACAAGAAACTAAACAGCAAGATCTTGCAAAGAACAGTCAATGATTTCTCAAAAAGTACGGATCAAGCATGTAACATACAGCGAATTAACCATGGATTCAGCACTCGAAAGGGTCATCGATTGTAAGAATGCATGCTTTCCCCAAGCGCCAAACAGTGGCAGCTTTATGTGATACCCGTAGCACCGCAGAGATGCCTGTTGGAAACTGTAGACGCTGCAATTCATCTTTTGTCTCATTCACCTTCACAGCTGAAGACAAAATATCTTTGTGCGACGCAACCAGTAAGGACTGTAGCTCCTCTGCATTCATGGCGACGAACTTGAGGAATTCAAACTCATTTTGATCCCCTCGGAAATTGTGAATAACCATCTTCTTGACATGTGATCTCAAGCAACAAATCGGACTGATCTCTCGCCAGAAGTTGGCATGATGGTCCCCACTGGGTTCATTGGCAGTTACAGATGGACCACGCAGTACAGACTGCAAATTGGTACCAATGTGTGAGCAGTTTGGTTACATATATGGATCAAGCTGCTAATAATCGACGATACCATTGTGAAATGATGGACGGACTGAAGTAACTGGGAACTACCTGGATATGCAGCGTGTCAACGTTTGGAAAGCATCTGAGGAAGCTGGCCAGCATCTTGACCTCCACGAAGACACCAAAATTCACAGTCAACGCCAATATCTGGACGCTTGGAACTACAGTGCTTGTGCTCACCATTCTGTCTGGCTGCAAAGCGGTCCACCAAGACAGGTATACATAACTTATCGAGTGTTCTATAATCATACAAAACATCATCATGGATGGGATAACTTTGAAAGAGAGATTATCATGACTCATTGACTACTTTCAGATCATATATGAGAACAATCTAGATGGAACAATTTCAAGTTGAGAGAGAGATTGAGACTGGAGAGATGTACCCTGATGACGCTGTCACCAATCTGCAGCTCGTGAGTTCCTGTGTTCAGGTAGCCGAGCACCCGCAGGTTGGGAGCACAAACGATCCTGATCCTCACACCATTAAGCGGTAGGGACAGGAACAAGAAAAGCCGCGCCAGGAGCGGCGTGTCCACCACGGTCAACTCCTCCACCTTGAGCAAACCAACAAGCGCGCACATGAGGCTTTTGCTGCGGAGACGGACGTGCTTGGAGCTATTGACGGTGAGCCGAAGGGACTCCAGAACGGGGCTCGCAGCGATCAAGCACTCCAGCTCCTGCTCGCTTATGACAATCCGTACTATGGCGAGAGCCCGGAGGCGGGGAAGAAGGACCTCGGTGCCGCTGGGGAACGTCCAGAAGTCCAGGGTGAGCTCCTGGAGCGAGTCGCAGCGGAGGATGTCGGCGGGAAGAAGGCGCGCGGGGTTGGGCTGGTCCATGACCCATCTGTTGGCGAGAAGGAGTTCCTCCGTGCGCTTGTCGACGAGGAGGCGCGGCCAGGCGGGGAGCTCACGGTCCAGTGAGGCGAGCCTGCAGTCGGCGAGGATGACGGTGCGGAAGTGGCCCGGGTAGTCGGCGAGGACTCGGGGGACCACGGCGTCGCGCGCGGGCTCGTGGATGTCAACGTCCTTGAGGACGAGCCGGTCGGAGCGCCAGAGGTAGCGCCAGCGGGAAGCGAGGACGGCGGTGCGGGCGGCTTCCATGAGGGGGAGGCGGGTGATGATCTCACGGAGGACGTCATCGTTGAGGTCGCTGATGAGGTCCACCCCGCCGTGGCCCGCCGTGGAGAGGGGAGCGCCGCCGTCGGCCATGGTGGGGTGGCGGTGCGAGGGTTTGGTTGGGCTTTGGCCGGAATGGAGAGGCCCTGGCCTGGAATGTTCTTCGCGGAGAGATTTTCCCCTTTTCTAAGTTGGGATCTGCGAGGAGAGACTGAAATGAGAAGGGGTGAACGGGAAATCACGGTCCTACGGTGAAATTCAGAGGATTGCCCGGGGAAAGGGACACGCTCAACATGCACACCTTTTTCTTTTTTTTGAAAATCGCTCAACATGTACATCTAATCCATACCAAAAGGGCAACACTCTGCGCAGGCGCGCCGGCCGAATCTTTCGGCCGGTCAGCCCAGATCCGTCCGATCTATGTGCGCGCGGCCGTTAGATCTCTTCCCCGTCCACCCCAGCACCCATCATCAACCTCCCACGCGAGAGAAAAACGAGAGAGAAGGAGAGCGCGACCCCCACCCTCTGCCGCCGCGCGCTCGCCGGCCACCCCGGGCTCGCTGTCCCCATGGAGGAAGACGCCTTGCTGGTCGCAAACGCTTTCATTTGTCGTCGCAGCAAATTCCGTCGTCGGTTGTAGAAATTACCAAGGACGGTTGTAACAAAAATTATCGCAGACCCTCGGTTGTAGTTCGTCGCACCATGGATGCCGACCGCACCATTGCCGGTTCTAGCATCAGATGGAAAACGACGGCATGGCTTGCAGCCAAAAAAAAGCCGACAGTAGCATTTTTTGGAGAGGGTTCTAGCAAAAAACAAATCTGGTGGAAGCTTTTGGACGGTTCCTTCCAGCAAACCCCAAAAGGTGATGATGGCAAATTTGGGCGCCGGTTCCAGCAAACTTCAAAACGGTTGCGGCAGCAAAAAAGGCATCGCCGCCATCGACCAGCACCGCCGTGCATGTATGTAGCAAAAAAAATCACCGGTGGTAGCAAAAATAAGCTACGGTGGTAGCAAAAAGCATCGCTGATACAATAGGACGAACTCCTATGGTAGCATTTCTGAACAAAAATGCCACAACCAGCTGAACAAAATGCTACAACTAGTATTTTTAAAGGCTGGAACCAGTGGTTTTCATGAAAAAAGATGCAAAAGAAACATATTTTTGAAGAAAAAGCTTGAACAGAATGATTTTCAAAAAGATAAAACCGGTTTAGCAAAAGCTACAACGGATGATCCAGAAAAGCTACAACCGGTGATCCGGAAAGCTACATGGTTCCAGCTTTTCCACTGCACGGTTGAAACAAAATCCCGTGCCCTGTCATGCGCGGGGTCGTGCTCGCCGTCTTGCTGGATGTAGCACCGACATCACCGGTCCAGCTAGACGTCGACAGCTAGCAACGGTGTATGTCGTCGTTTCCACCCCTTGCCTCTGTTGCTTGCAACTCCACCAAATCTGGTTGCAGCCCCGCCTTGTACAGCACGTCAAACCGCTTGTACTCTGACGAGCAGTTGCAGCGGTGCCACGGCAGCGAATGCCGGTGGTGGCAGCGGGGCTTGGAGGTGGGGGGGGCAAGGGAGAGGTTGCGGAGAGGACGAGAGCGACAACACAGGGGGGTGGGGAGAAGAAGAATAAAGATTGGTAGGGAGAGGATGAAGCGGTGGAGAGGATAAGGGATGGGGCGGGTCTACACGGGACCCCACCGTAATACACGTGTCTCATGCGGGGGTGTGATTTGCTAGGCGCGCCAGACCAGCGTGGCACGAGACCGGCCGAATTTTCGACCGGCGCACCGCACCCAAACACTTACCATACCAAAAACGCCTGTTAGTATAGAATTAGAGGAGCTCATGGGCTTCCCGGTATTCCCGCATCTCCCATGTGGTGGCCATCCGAGGGTCGACGCGCGCCAACTGCGGCAGGCCGGCAGGGAAATTGCATCGGCGTTGGCGTCATGGAGGCAGTCCGACATTATGTCGTATTCCCCCGCCACCTGCACCGTCAAGTGGAAAGATCAGATCCAAATGTGGTCGTGGGTGTCGGGTCGGTGATCTCTGCGACCCATGTCCCCAACGGCGGCGGCGACGAGAGGTCAGGGATATGAGATGCACGAGCACGACAGGAGGAAGCGCTGCCGCGACCATGGGCTTGGGACTGCGCGTGGATCCGCGTCGGGGATGGGCAGCGGGAGCGGTGGCGGATGGATCCGGCCATTATCGACATCGGAGCGACGGCGGAGTAGATCGGGGTGGAGGTAGGGGCGCATCGGCGGGGGTTGAGCGGTTGTGGAATGGAAGAAGAGGAGAAGTATGGGTGGGGAATTTTTTACTTCTCAGGGAGGTCGGTGAGTATATTTATGAGTCATGGCTGACACAGAGTAAACACTTTAATCACTAAAGGTTTAATGAGTTCTACCGATTAAAGGAAAATCGAATTTATCCTTCTCTAACGCTGAGGCCTCCTTTGATTCATATGATAGAAATGTTGTAGGAATGGAAAAATCATAGGAAGTGAGATGACATGCATCTCAATTCCTATAAAGAAAGAGATGTCATTTGATGTATAGGATAGGAATTTTTTCATTGAGTCTTAGCTAATGTTTTTTTTCCTCCAAAATATGAAGGATTAATTTCTATCCTATATAGGAATAGGAATCCATTCCTACGAACCAAAGGGCCTTAAAGGAAATTTTTCTATGCAAATCTTATCCTATAGAAATCCTATGACATTCCAACAAACTAAAGGAGGACTGAATAGGGGATGAGTTAGAGATGCGCTTAGATCGGTGACACCTAAACCGTCACCATTTTTTTTTTTGAACTTACCGCCACCATTTTGGGTCTGCAAACGTGATCAGCTTTCAGTGTCAAGAATGTCAAGGTTGTTAAGACATTTATACGTTCCTCCTTAGAACTGGCAAGGCTATTAGGCCACTGAAGTAACTAAATAAAGAAAGGTGAATGAAATCAACTGCTGGGCTATTGGCGAAATTAAACCAAGAGAGAACATCATCAAGGGCAAGCAACAACCATAAGAAAGTCCTCTTTGCAAACAGGAGAAGCGGAGCCAAACAAGTAGAGTAACACCTACATAACTGTTATATCTCTAAACATATATGGTGGGCATTCCATTAAGCAAAGAATTAGCATATTTGAACATTCCCACTTCCTGAAAATCTTTCAGTGAAACATCAATAGTCAACTTTATTTTCGGAAACGGACTACTTTAAGATTGTTTACAAACCAGGTCGCATATGTAGGCTCTAGATTTGCTCAACTAATCGGCCAAGTCTTTATTGGAAAGAAAAAATCTACTGGCATAAGCAATTTATTCCATATATGCTTTTACCAGTCGATGCAATGTGCCATTATTATTCCAGATACACAAAACATGATGAATAAAACAGAAGTGCAGAACTACATTTAGCCTTTGCCATCCTGATCCTGGCTAACCAAGCTCAGTATACTCTGACCATCAATTGATAGTTAACGAAACTGAAAGAGGTGATAAGAAACTACATAAGCAATGCAGAGAAAATGAAACCACAGACATGCTAAAAAACAGGCGCACTATATCCAGAAGCAAACTGCTGTCATATCGAGACAGACACATGAAAATAACACTAGTCTCTCAAGTACTTCTGCTAACTTTAATTCCTACATACTCTTGGTAGTTGGAAAACTCAGCCATGTCTCAAGATAAGGCGTGCCTACAAGAAACTAAACATCAAGATCTTGCAGACAACAGTCAATGATTCCTCAAAAAGTATGGATCAGGCATGTAAACATACAGCGAATTAACCATGGATTCACCATTCAAAAGGGTCATCGATTGTAAGATTGGATGCTTTCTCCAAGCGCAAACCAGTGCCTGCTTTAGGTGACAACTGCAGCACTGCAGAGATACCTGTTGGAAACTGTAGACACTGCAATTTGTCTTTTATCTCATTCACCTTGTCAGCTGAAGACAAAATTCCTTCATGCGGCACAATCAGTAAGGACTGCAGCTCCTGGGCATTCATGGCAATGAACTTGAGGAACTCAAATTCATTTTGATCCCCTCGGTAATCGTGAATAACCATCTTCTTGATATGTGATCTCAAGCAACAAATCGGACTGATCTCCTGCCAGAACTTGGCATGATACTCCCCACTGGATTCATTGGCAGTTACAGATGGATCATGCGGTGCAGACTGCAAATTGGTACCAATGTGTGAGCAGTTTGGTTACATATATATCAAGCTGCTAATAATTGATGATAATATTGAAATGGTTGACAGACTGAAGGAACTGGGAGCTACCTCAATGTGCAGCGTGTCAATATTGGGAAAGCATCTGAGGAAGCTGGCCAGCATCTTAACCTCCCCAAAGACACCAAAATTCACAGTTAACGCCAATATCTTGACGCTTCGAACCACAGTGCTTGCGCTCACCATTGTGTCTGACTGCAAACAGGTTCACAAAGACAGGTTTATCATAACTCATCAAGTGCTCTATAATCATACAGAGCATTATCATGGGATGGGTCGATGCGGATGGAATAACTTTGAGAGAATGCAATGAGATGCAGCAAAAGCAACATTATCATAACTCACTGACTACTTTCTGATCCTAGAGAACATGATGGATGGAACAATTTCAAGTTGAGAGAGAGATTGAGACTGGAGAGACGTACCCCGATGACGCTGTTACCAATCTGCAGCTTGTGAGCTCTTGTGTCCAGGTAGCCGAGCACCTGCAGGTTGGGAGCACAAGCGATTCTGAACCCCACCACACCAGTAGGCGGCAGGAACAAGTAGAGCCGCTCCAGGAGCGGCGTGTCCACCAGGGTGAACTCCTCCACTCTGGATAGCCCAACGAGCGCGCACTGGAGGCTTTGGCTGCGGAGCCGGACGTGCTTGGGGCTATTGAGGGTGAGCCGAAGGGACTCTAGAACGGGGCTGGCAGCGATCAAGGACTCCAGTTCCTGCTCGCTTATGCCAATCCTTACCATGGCGAGAATCCGGAGGCGGGGAAGAACGACCTCGGCGCCGCTGGGGAACGTCCAGAAGTCCAGGGTGAGCTCCTGGAGCGAGTCGCAGCGGAGGATGTCG